CAAGACTAAGGGTGTGGGTGTGTTTAACCCTTCTGATGCTTGCCAAGAGATGCTTGCTTCAGCTTCATCTATTGGGGTTTGTACAGACTACTGTGAAGTACTTGCTTCAGCTGATAGTTCATCTTCAGCAGCGGCTGAAGTAGGCATGACATACTGCTGGGCGCTGCTGTCCTCTATCTGCTACTTTGCCACTTCTAGCAACTCTTCATCCTCGCTATCTGAGCTTCCATAACAACAGGGACATCCACCCCAGATAAGGAAGTAAGGAATTTCATGAATATATTTTTAAAAGGGGAGATGATGACAAAGTGTTGTTTGTGGGTCTGCCTGTGCCCTCCTCTGAGGCCAAGATCAAAAGACTGAAGGCCGAGCATGAGACCTAGCATTGGATAGAAAACCACTGTCCTGAAGTCTATGGCCAGGACTTCTTCACCATTCACGTATTTTAAAAGGGGATGTGATTACAAAAATAATTTGTTGCACTGCCTATGCCTTCCTCTGGAGCTGAGAGAGTGTGACTGCTTAGCCTCTAAGAGGGAGGCAGATCTGGTGCTAGTCACACTCTATCAGCCATATAGGAACAATTAGTATTTCTATTACATATCATTACAAAATGCCTAATCCAGGCAATGCTGGGTATATACATTAGTGCCTACATAAAAACAAGACATACCCCTTTCACACTATCCTTATATCCCAGGATCTTGTTTCAGATTATCTGCTTATCCCAGAATATATAGCAATGGAGACTATGGGCCCTTCCAGATAGACCCTATATCCCAGGATCTGATCCCAGGTTTTCTGTATTAATTGGATTATGTGAGTCTCCACTGCTGAATAATCTGGGATAAACAGAAAACCTGAGATCACATCCTGGGATATTGGGCCTGTCTGGAAGGCCCTCATATAATCCAGTTCAAAGCAGATAACCTGGGATCACATCCTGGGATATAAGGAAAGTGTAGAAGGGGCCATACTGAGTTCAGTGAGGGTCCTTCCACACAGCCAGATAACCCAAAATGTCAAGGCAGATAATCCACAATATCTGCTTTGGACTAGATTATCTGAGTCCACACTGCCATATAATCCAGTTCAATGTGGATTTTATACAGCTGTGTGGAAGGGGCTGGAGGCTCACTCCCAAACAAGAAGTTCTAGGACTGGAGTATATTTGCTTAACATTTCACTATGTGTATCTGTTCATGCACCCACACATTTTTAAATCATCTGTTGATTTATGGAGAACCCATGAGTTTCATAGGGTTTTCTTAGGTAAGAAATACTCAGAAGTGGTTTTGCCAGTTCCTTCCTCCAACATACAGCTTATAGCAGCTGTTATTTGTTTGCAGACTCCCAACCAAGTACTAACCAAGGTTGACCCTGCTTAGCTTCCAAGATCAGACAAGATCTGGTGCTTTTTGGGTATTTCTTTAGATTATTTGATACAGACAGCTAAGTTTACTGTTGCATTTGAGATAACAGTGAGATAATATTCTTCCTCTTCCCTCTCCTCCCCATTTCTCTGAGCTTGCATTGGATAGACCCCATCAGCTGTAGCTTCTTAGATATGGTTATATTGGCTTTCTATGGGTGAGCAGATTATGACTGGTAAATGCCATATGTTCTGTATCTCAAAAGCTAGAGCTGATAGGGGAAAATTGGTGCCATTTTTGGAATAGTAGGTGAAATACTATATACTCAGAAACAGGGCTAACATTGGAGGAACCAAAATGAGTGTTGGCCGGTGTTATCTTTATTTTACTGTATATCCAACTTTAATTTGGTGGACAGGACATTTGGTTAAAATGACACAATTGTAATGGATAATGCCAACTGCCCTGTCCCATCCTATACTTCTGTATTGATGCTGCTCCAAATACAAAGTTGCAGCATCCTAAGGCAGACCYGGCTGTCTGATCTAACACAATCTTAGGCCCCTTCTGCCATATAATCTAGATTATCAAATAGATAGTCCATATTATCTACTTTGAACTGGATTATCTGAGTCTACACTGCCATATAATCCAGTTCAAAGCAGATAATCTGGATTTTATATGGCAGAGTAGAAAGGGACTAAGAGACCTTCCACACAGMCCTTTATCCCAGAATATCATGGCAGAAAATACCACATTATCTGASTGTGTATTCAGATAACTCAGTTCAAAGCAGATATTGTGGGATGTTCTGCCTTGATATTCTGGAATATAGGGCTGCGTGGAAGGGCCCTTAGTGAGGCAAATCAATTCAACTTCTAACATGGATTAAATCCCAGATTACAATTTACATTTTTTTCTTTTAAATTTGACTCAAATTCCAACAGCAACAATTGTATTCAATTGTTATTATAGTGTTTAAGATTTTTCTAAATGATAAAAACCACTTAACCTTTAAAAATATTATTCTAACCCTTTGGGTTGAAATGATTCCCCAGAGCAGAGGGGATTGGTCGAAATATTTCCAGCATGACCATAGAATCCCAGAAGGAGAGAGAGAGAGAAAGTGACTCTCTTAAATATAAAGGGAGTACATTCTGATCCCTTTGTCTGGAGTTGTGTACTTGCCAAAATGTCATGCGCATGACATGGGAGCATGTATAAATAAAATCACAAAGGAACATGGGAACAAGCCAACAGAATGCGATCACAGGTCATTCAGGTCAGTCACTCAGATGCTACTCTATTTCAGATTTTGGCCTGCCTAAATAGGAGTCTGGTGTCTAGATCCATGGAAGTCATGCTACCCCTTTATTCTGTCTTGATCAGACCACACCTGGAAGCCCACTCTGTCCAATTCTGGGCAGCGCAATTCAAGTGAGATGTTGCCAAGCTGGAATGTGTCCAGAGGAGGGTGACTAAAATGATCAAGGGTCAAGAGAACAGGCCCTATGAGGAGTGGCTTAAAGAGCTGTGCAATTGTTTAGCCCACAGAAGAGAAAGCTGAGAGGAGACATAATGGGGGAAAGTCATAGGGAGGAGGGAGCACGCTTGTTTTCTGCTGCCCTGAAGACTAGGGCCCCTTCTACACAGCTGAATAAAATTCCACATTATCTGCTTTGAAATGGAATATATGGCAGTGTGGATTCAGATAACCCAGTTCAAAGCAGATATTGTGTGATTTTCTGTCTTGATATTCTGGGTTATATGGCTGTGTGGAAGGGCCCTATGACGTGGAACAATGGCTTCAATCTACAGGAAAGGAGATTCCACCTGAACATGAGGAAGAACTTCCAGACTGTGAGAGCTGTTCAGCAATGGAACTCTCTGCCCTGGAGTGTGGTGGAAGCTTCTTTGGAAGCTTTTGAACAAAGACAGGATGGCTATCTGTCAGGAATGCAATTTTCCTGCCTCTTAGCCGGTGGTTGGACTGAATGACCCACGAGATCTCTTCCAACTCTATGACTCTACTCAATTTTGGAGAAACTCCTATCAGATTCCCAGTATCTACAAAAGGAAATGTCTCTTACCTACCGAAGGGTGCATCTACACTGCAGAATGAACCAGTATGGCTCAATACTGTGACATTCTGGGAGTTACAGCTTTACGTTTTAGCTTTCTTTGCCAAAGAGGCCAAGCCTTGATAACCTGGAATATAGGGCTGTGCGGAAGGGCCCTGAGTCCACACTCAGATAATGTGGGATTTCCTGCCTTGCTATTCTGGGATATAGGACTTTTGTTCGGTAATTGTTGTGTTTGGGCACACTCGGATACTATGGGATTGATATTTTGATATATTGGGATATTGATATTTTGCCTTGATATTTTGCTATTCTGGGATATAGGACTTGTGTTCGGTAATTGTTGTGTTTGGGCACACTCGGATACTATGGGATTGATATTTTGATATATTGGGATATTGATATTTTGCCTTGATATTTTGGGATATAGGGCTGTATGGAAGGGCCCTGAGTCCACACTCAGATAATGTGGTATTTCCTGCCTTGATATTTTGGGATATAGGGCTGTGCGAAAGGGCCCTGAGTCCACACTCGGATAATGTGGGATTTCCTGCCTTGATATTCTGGAATATAGGGCTGTGCGGAAGGGCCATGAGTCCACACTCAGATAATGTGGGATTTCCTGCCTTGATATTCTGGGATATAGGGCTGTGCGGAAGGGCCCTGAGTCCACACTCGGATAATGTGGGATTTCCTGCCTTGATATTCTGGGCTGTGTGGAAGGGACCTGAATCCACACCCAGATAATGTGGGATTTCCTGTCTTGATATTCTGGGATATATGGCTGTGTGGGAGGGCCCTGAGTCCACACTCAGATAATGTGGGATTTCCCACCTTGATATTTTGGGATATAGGGCTGTGTGGAAGGACCCTGAGTCCACACTCGGATAATGTGGRATTYCYYRCCTTGATATTYTGGGATATARGGCTGTGYGGAAGGRCCCTGAGTCCGCAYTTGGATAATGTGGGATTCCCTGCCTTGATATTCTGGAATATAGGGCTGTGTGGAAGKGCCCTGAGTCCACACTCAGATAATGTGGAATATTCTGCCTTGATATTCTGGCATATAGGGCTGTGTGGAAGGGCCCTGAGTCCACATTCAGATAATGTAGGATTTCCCACCTTGATATTTTGAGATATAGTGCTGTGTGGAAGGGCCCTGAGTCCACACTCAAAAGAATTTGAGATTTCCTTCCTTGATATTCTGTGATATATGGCTRTGTGGAAGGGCCCTGAGTCCACACTCAGATAATGTGRGATTCCTTGCCTTGATATTCTGGGATATAGGGCTGTGTGGAAGGGCCTTGAGTTATCTGAGTCCATACAGGGCCTGTTTGGAAGGGCCCATAGTGTTTCTAAGTTCTTTAGGCTGGAGACCCGGACTTCGAAACTGGTTTCACTGGAAACAGAAAGCCCTGAAGGCCCAAAGAGAGAAGAGGCAGCCCCGCCTCACAACAAGGCTCTTCTCTCTCTCTCTTGTACAAGCCAACTCAAGCGGGACCTGTTGGGGGACTCCTCCCTATTGGCCTCCCCCGCTCCTCCTCCTCCTCCTCCCCTGAAACTTAGAGAGGAAGGGAAGAGGAGGCGGCTTGCAGAGCGCAGTCGGGGCCCAGCGGAGGAGGAAGCCCACGGAGAGAGGAAGAAGGACAGTGAGTCAAAGGCTGAGCGTGGACTGGGGCTGGACGGCCAGAGAAAGGTGGGAGGAAACCTGGGCTATACAGGGCCTGTTTGGAAGGGCCCAGAGACTCCATTGTGGGGTTGAAAAGGCTTTTTTGGGTCTCTAGTTTGAGGCGGGGAAGCGACACAGGACGTGCGGATGGCCAAGAGTTCCCGAAGTTGAGGGAAAGTCTGGAGTTGGCGCGTTAACGCGCCAACTCCAGACTTTCCCTCAACTTCGGGAACTCTTGGCCATCCGCACGTCCTGTGTCGCTTCTCAAGCTACTCCTCATTTCCTCTCCTTTGGTGACTTTTTTCCTGTTTGCTTCTGACGTGGGCTCATCCTGAACCCAAGAGGTCACTTCCTTTGCCTCTCATGCCTTCACCCTAAACTCGAATTGAAAGACAAAGCAACTTATTAATATCTATCTATGTATCTATCTATCTCCTCAGTGTCTCTTCTTCTGGAGTCCTTTTGGGCATTGATTGCATCGACTACTTCTAATCTCTTTGATATGGTTGTGAGAATATGTTCTGTGTCTCAGGATCCGATCTCAGATTATCTGCTTTTGAACTGGATTATAGGAGTCCACACTGCCAGATAATCTGGGATAGAGGGCAGTGTAGATCCAGCCTCTGATAGAGGAGAACTATAGGCAGCCCAACTATACCCAGCTAAAGTTTGAGGCCCTTTCCACACAGCTGAATAAAATCCCACATCTGTTTTGAACTGGAATATATGGCAGTGTGGACTCGGAGCCTTTCCACACAGCCATATAACCAAGAATATCAAGGCAAGAAATCCCACATTATCTGCTTTGAACTGGAATATATGGCAGTGTGGACTCAGAGCCTTTCCACACAGGCATATAACCCAGAATATCAAAACAAGCAATCCCACATTATCTCTTTTGAACTGGAATATATGGCAGCATGGACACAGATAATGCAGAGCCATTCCACACTGCCATATAACCCAGAATATCAAGGTAAGAAATCCCACATTATCTGCTTTGAACTGGAATATATGGCAGTGTGGACTCAGATAACCCACAGCCTTTCCACATTGCCATATAACCCAGATTATCAAGGCAAGAAATCCCACGTTATCTGCTTTGAACTGGAATATATGGCAGTCTGGACTCGGATAACCCAGAACCTTTCCACACAGCCATATAACCCAGAATATCAAAGCAAGAAATCCCACATTATCTGCTTTGAACTGGAATATATGGCAGTGTGGACTCAGATAACCCAGAGCCATTCCACACTGCCATATAACCCAGAATATCAAGGCAAGAAATTCCATATTATCTGCTTAGAACTAGAGTATATGGCAGTGTGGACTCAGATAACCCAGTTCAAAACAAATATTGATATTCTGGTTTATATGATTGTGTGGAAGAACCCTGAGCCACCCAGAATGTGTGTGTTTTCCAGTGTTGTCTCTATTTCTCTGACCGCTCAACTGAAATCTGGCATTTCCTTTGCTTATGAATGTCTGCAATGAATGACAGGAGTATTCGTTTTCTATCATATGACAGGGGATTTCTGTCTTAAGAATTACTCAGGCCCCTTCCACACAGCTGAATGCAATCCCACATATTCTGCTTTGAACTAGGATGTATGGCAGCGTGGACTCAGATAATCCAGTTCAAAGCAGATATTGTGGGATTTTCTGCCTTGGTATTTTGAGGGCCCTACTAGAAAGGCCCTATATCCCAGGATCTGACCCCAGATTTTCTGCTTTAAACTGGCTTATATGAGTCTGCACTGCCAGGTAACCTGGGATAAACAAAAAACCTGGGATGAGATCCTGCAAAATAGGGCCTGTCTGGAAGGATCCTGGGTTATATGGCTGTGTGGGCCCCTGAGTCTCATCTATACAGGTGGTCCCCAGTTACAAACATTCGAATGACAAGCTTCCAAAGAAGGAGCCTCCACCACACTCTGAGGCAGAGAGTTCCACTGCTGAATGGCTCTCACAGACAGGAAGTTCTTCCTAATGTTCAGATGGAATCTATCCAAAGCTTGCACACACATGGTTTTCTATCTGTGCCCCTGTTAAGATAATTTCACCTCACTTTCTCTCCCTGTGGTAATTAGATTTTGAAAAAAAATGCTTGTTGTTTATATATTATATATACAGCTGGAATTAGGGCCCCCTGATGGCACAGCGGGTTAAACCGTTGAGTTGCTGAACTTGCTGATCGAAAAGTTGGTGGTTCAAATCCGAGGAGCGGGTTGAGCTCTCATTGTTAGGCCCAGCTTCTGCCAGCCTAGCAGTTTGAAAACATACAAATGTGAATACACCAATAGGTACCGTCTTGGCAGGAAGGTAACAGCACTCCATGCAGTCATGCTGGCCACATGACCTTGAAGGCATCTATGGACAACACCACTCTTTGGCTTAGAAATAGAGATGAGCACCACCCCACAGAGTCAGACTCGACTTGATTTAATGCCAGGGGAAACCTTTACCTTTTTAGAGCTGGAGTTACACTGTTCTAAGTTTCATACAAATTCAACTTAAGAACAAATGTACAGAACTTATCTTGTTCATATCTTGTTTGTAACTTGGGGACTGCCTGTACTTTAAAATTATAGTCATCGTACAACCCAATGCTAGATCACATGTGATTGCAGTCTCTCTGCATACAAACTGTTGTTGTTGTTGTTGTTGTTATGAGATGCAGTTGACCAAATACCTTTCAACACCAAATAGATAAGAAGTCATAAAACTCGAGAGTCATAAAACTATTTGATGCTACATTCTGAGCAGGAGTCCGTGGTTTTCACTTACGTGGACTCCTGTGGCAGTGGTTTTCACTTACACGGACTGGCAAAGAGGTCCATAGCGAAAAAGGTTAAGACTCTCAGCTCTAAAATGTTGTGTACCTTCTTCAAATAGTTCCCAACTTATGTAGAACCTTTTTTTTTCATTCTCATTCCAGCATTTTCCTCACAGTAATGCCAGGGAGATCCGAAGAAGTGTTAGTGGTTACTCGGAATTTCTTCACCAACTGAAAGCGCTGCAAAGTTGGATCTTACCATTTTGGGAACAATACTGCCTATAACAAGGACTTCTGAGAAAACTTTGTTTTTACTTCTCCTTTTGAGATATCACACCCAGCATCACAATTTTTTCATAAAATATTAATTTTTTGGTTTTTTTAAAAAAAGGGGGACTACAAATATGGCATTCATTGTTGAATGGAAGTCTTGAGTTTAACCAAGCCAATTGGCCACAGTACTTAAAATTGTGTTTCCTTACTTTTTTTCTGGACTCTGTGTGTGGAAACAAGTGATTAAAAATGGATAAGTACGATGATCTAGGTCTGGAGGCAAGTAAATTTATAGAAGATCTTAATATGTATGAAGCTTCTAAAGATGGGCTCTTCCGAGTGGACAAAGCAGTTGGGAACAACCCAGAATTTGAAGAAACCCGTAGGGTGTTTGCTACAAAAATGGCCAAAATCCACCTCCAGAAACAGCGAGAGCAAGAGGAGCTGCTCAAGTCAGCTTCTGGGGGTCCAAGCAATGGGGCCAGCTTTGGTACTCAGCATCAGCTTCCTGGCCATTCTGTCGCCAGAGGCCCTGGAGGAACAAATAAACTGCACTCAGGTGAAAATATTGCAAAGCCTCCACTGGCTACGTCATCAACAGTGTGCTCAGGCCATCACATTTCCTTCCCAAACCAGCCCCAAGGTTATGCTGAAGGAGAGCGGCCAAAACTCTACTCAGAAGGCAACAGAGGCAGCAGTGACTATGGATACAGTGAAGGCCTTAGTGCTCCAGAAGTTTCCAGAGGACACAGTTATCAAAAGTCAGGGCAGGTGAATCTGTGTAGTTCTAAGACATCTTTTCCCTCGCTTTCTCATGAAGAACCTAATAATAGTGAAAATCAGACAGGTAGTCAAAGTTGGGGAAGAGACACTGGTAAGTTTTCTAACATGAAGTCTGGTATCGGCTCCCATTTATGGTCAAGCACCAACCACGAGGAATCATTGCAGAAGCATCCTGCAAAACCTCAAGCAGATCTTCATCCATACCAACAGTCACGCAACGCTTTCAGGTCTCCAGAGAGTGGGTATGGTAGTCAGGAAAGCGGAGGTGAAGGTCCTGGGCTTGGTCAAAGTTATGACCACAACCCAAGTAACCAGAGATCATCTTCTTTCTCCCACACTGTTGGTCCTTTGTCCTCCACAGTTGGGGTTGGTGATGGAGTGCCTGCAGGATATTTACAGCAGAGGTCGTCCTCATTCTCTGCTCCATCAGGGCACCCTTCTCAGTCTGTATTGAATCGGTCTGATAATTTTCATGCAAACTGTGGTACTGACGTGTGGACTTCTGGTGTTTCAAATAAAAGTCCTGGTGACAATCAGTCAAGAAGTAAGGATAACATTCAAGCTTCAATTTCTGGTTCACTTCCTACTCCGCTACCTCCATGTGTAGACTATCAGCAAACAAACACTCACCCAAAGCCTAGCAGTCATTTTGTAGTTCATGGTCAAAATCACAGGCTTAATTCCGCAAGTGTGTCTGGCATGAATCCGGAGCAAAATTCTATTAGTGTAACATCTCATGGACCAATGATTTCCGATGTTCCAAAATCTCCTTTTAAAGAGGGCATTGGCACTCTTCAGCATGACTCTGGTCACCAGGAAAGCTCCACTTCTGCAAAAATAAAACTACCCTGTCAGACACTCCTTCCACAGCAAGAACAAGGACCATCCACTGCAGAATTAAAATTAGAAGCTCTTACCCAGCGTCTGGAGCAGGAGATGGATTCTTGTCCAAAGGCTGACTACTTTGGTAGGTGTATATCTGTCACATTTTGCAATGCATTACTTTTTTAAATAATAGGTTCGGTGGTAAATTGCATAGTATTTGCACCTAGAGACATATTTTCTTGGTTGCTTTTCCCCATTGTCACTAATCACGGGAACAGCTCATACTTTTAAAATTAAATTTTCAAGAAGCTACAATTTTAATATAATAACTTCAGTAGAAAATGATAAGCTAGAGAAAAATGAATCAAAGGCATGTTTTTAAAAGCAAGTTGATATGTCAATTTTAATGCCTCACAGGCTACAAGCTACCACATACTTTTTATGCTGTGTGCCAATTTTGGGAGTAAGTGGCATTTTCCAATAGTCTGGTGGGAGTATTTGGGTTGTTGGGGTTTTTTTCCATTTATCAAAAAAGCATAAGACAGGCTTAACTGTATCCAAAAAGTTGCAAGTGTATCTGTCTTGCTTAACTAAATAATATTAAGGGCAGTGTTATCAAGTTACAATAAGATACATGGTAGTGAATGGGAGAAATGTATCCTGCCTTTAAGGTTATAATGTGCTTAGACAAATAAGTCGGCTGAAGCACAGTACTGAATTTATGTCCGCCCTAGAGAAATAATTGGAAAAGTGGCTTTCAGTAATGGATTGGCAACTGATTTGTGATGCTGGGTGAAAGATGGAAGGGCTGAGCTCTCTAATAGTAAGGATATCCCCTTCTCACATCTTTATTGTCACAACTAGCAATGGAGTTTGGCACACAAAGGGAGCATCTATCTTAGAAATTTGTGTCTCCCCTTGGAGAAATCTGAAGCATATTTGGGGAAGGGAGGGGGGAGGACAATCAGCTGGGGATAATTCTAAGGCACTCATTTAAACTGCAAAACTCTTGCCTTTCTTCTCCATTGTGCCACTTCTTTATTAGTTGTGCCTTAGATGGAGTGCTCAGACTACCACTTGTTGAACCCATGCAATTTCACGTTGTGCAGCTGCATATGGGTTAGCTGTTATTTCTTTTAGATAGAAATAAAGGCACTTCAAGAGTTCAGTATCTTTGGAGTCTGGTAATTTGGATATATTCTTGTAGATGTTTCAGGAAGCCCCATGCAGATTGGTCCCAGTATCATTTAGATTTGTATCTTCTGCTTCACAAGATAAGATAGGGGTTTTTATAGCGCCTAAGCTGAAACAATTATATAGCTTAATTAGAATAGGTTACAGATTCACAGGAACAGTAGATTTTCTCTTACTGCTGTTGAAAACAGAGAGGTTTTGGCTTTCAGCAGAGGTGGGCAGCTGCAGTGAGACTGGGAGCCCAGATTCATATACCATTTAGGTACATCCAGTTAGAAAAAATGGGGTTGGAAGGGTCTTGGGGTGGGCATGAGTTTTAAGTAAGTGCCAAAAACAATGGTGCCATGCTTACCCTATTTCTGGGACTAATACTACCAAGATATTTATTTATCATTTCAGAAGTGAACTGAGGGTACAGTTGTAATGTATTTAAAAACACAAACAAAGTTAAAAAAATTGGCATTATGCGCAATATTCTTTGACCAGTAGCTGGCCAGTTGGAGTGCCTCTGGCATTGCTAGAAGAAGGTCCTCCATGGTGCATGTGGCAGGGCTCGGACTGCTTTGTAATATGTGGTCTGTGGTTTTCTCTTCTCCACACTCACATGCTGCCACTTTTGGACTCTTGCTTGCTAAGGTGTTCCTGCAAGTATCTCTGTAGAACTTAGAAAGCTATTTCTTTATTTAAGGCATTGGTGTGCTAGGGATGGGCCAGAGATGTGAAACAATATCTTCTAAAAATACAGATATGTATATGTGCCTTCAAGTCACTTATTGATCCAGGGCGACCCTATGAATTTAACAGATTTGGCAAGGATTCTCAGAGTGATTTTACCAGTGCTTTCCTCTAAAATATAGTCCGCAACACTTGATATTTATTGGTAGTCTCCCTCCAAATACTTACAAGAGCTGACCCAGCTTAGCTTCCTAAATCAAATGCATTGTAGTATCTATAAGGTATTTAGATGATATAAGAAGTACAAGACACCACAGAAATAGATGTAGATCAGTATAGTTTCATTCTTGTTATGCAGCACAATGACACCATGTTGTTACATGTTATGTTAGGGGGGCTAAAAACTTGGTGTAGAATTTCTGTTACTAACAGTAGTCTTGTATCTGTAAAAACATGTGATTTTGCACTATAATTAGCATAAAGCTTTAAAAATTAATCTCAAAATGTAAGGATAGCTTTGATAAATCAGACCTAGATTCTTTTTCTTTAGAATTCTAACTTCCTAAATAACTCTTGATGCCCTAAGGCCAGTTCATGAAGGCAGAGACAAAATTGTGCATAGTATTCCATACAAGAAACCGAGAAAATCAGAGGTTAAATAGTATTTTGTCAGTGTTCCTGAAACAGTACCCTCAGGTTGTGGAAGGTAGCTTAGCAGGATATTTGTGTGCATGAGCAGTTCAGGCCATATGGTGTCTGCTGTTTAGTGAAAAATCTTCAGAAGCTGATGAGGATGATGGTCCTCCCTTGTCTCTATGACAGTGGTTCTCAACCTGTGGGTCCCCAGATGTTTTGGCCTTCAAGTCCCAGAAATCCTAACAACTGGGAAACTGTCTGGGATTTCTGGGAGTTATAGGCCAAAATACCTGGGGACCGACAGGTTGGGAACCACTGCTTTTGCATGTGATTTTCAGTGACCGTGCTTGAGATTAAAACTGGGAGATTTTTTCCTCATAGATCATCTTTCCAACTGAGGTACAGCATTTACTTTTTTTTTTGAGAAAGGACAATAGTCTTTATTATTTTAAGACAACTGACCAGGTGGTATGTGATATTTAGAAGGCTTGTGAATTTCATATGTGTAATTATTATTGAAATGAAGTTGAAAGTAGGATCTGTTGCATGGATGGGGATCATATAGGTACTGAGTCCCAAAAGGTCTATCCAGCATTGCCAAAACTGACAGTTTCTAAAAATTACAGACCAGCAACTTGTAGAAGTCTATGAAGTTTTTGTTCTACTGCACTGTAATAGGTAATGGGAAACGAACAGTTTAATATTATGAATTCTTCCATATAGTTGTTTAGCTTAAGATACAAATCTGCATCTCTCAGCATGGGTGATGGGTTCTGCATGCACTTTAATACGTCCCTAGTGTTTGTGGCTACAATTGGTAGCGCCTCAGGCATGGGGCTTTCCTTTGCTCCAGCTCTAGACTACCAAATTTGGGCTGAAGCTTGGGTGTTTGGGGATTGTCTTTAGGGATTAAGCAGGAGGATCTGGAAGCAAATTGCATTTGAAATTATTATGATTATTTTCAAGGAGAGGCTATATGTATTGTATGCTGTGCAATGGAAGCTTGATGTGTACCAGAAGAAATGCTGTGTCTCAACTTGCAAAGTCAATTTTAACATTTGCCTTTCTTTAAATAGTCAGCATGGGCAAGAAGTGCACTTTGATCTTCTTGAGAGCATGTAATAAATCACAATAGTAATTTTGGTAACAGAAGGTCTAGACAGTGGGTGTGTGGGATTATTTTAATTAATGTCCTTGTGAGAAAGGGGAAAGATGAGACTACTTAGATCCCAGTGGAATCCAGCGCTATCCCTCTCCTTCAGCAACAAGGAGGACGTAGGGCCAGTGAAGCTGATTTGAGAAGTCAGGAAAGAAGTGCCTTAAAATATAAGAGTAAGAACACAGCTGACTCCTGAACATGATGTTTTGGTTTCCAGGACTACTTTCAGATTTCCAAAAAGGAATCAGTATGAGACAAAATCCCTGCGGAATTGAAATACCCTTGGTATATACAGTATGTACTTTCCCACAAAAGTCTAAGAGCTGGAAGGAATGCATTATCTTGTTCATGATTCTTTTCTGTAAAAATAGTAATAACTGCAGATTTTCTTTCCAGCAGAATGCTTCCTATGTGTATTCTTTTAGTTCTGGAATTCTAAAAGCACTGCTTGGGAGGAAAATGCTTGCTGTAGAATTCAGATGACATCAAATACCTTGGGAAACCTGGTGGTGTAGGAAATGGCCAAAGAAATCCCTTTTGTGCTCCTTTCTCTTTCTTTAATCTCTCCATTGTTACCTGGATGTAAGTGATGGAGCTGACTTTGAAAAGATTGAGGGCATGTGGTTTATTCAGTGCTGTGGCTTGTACTACAGAAAGTGCTATTTCTGAAGCATTTCAAGAAGCAGACCCATTCTGTTGGAAGTGCATGTTTGTGCTTGGGCCTTCAAGTTTCCTATTGACTGAGAACAACCCCATTAATTTCATAGGGTTTTGTTAGGGAAATAATACTCAGAGGTGGTCTTGCCAGTTCCTTCATCTGAAATGTAGCCTATAGGATCTGATGTTCATTGGTGGCCTCCCATATAAGTACTAACCAGGGCTGATCCTTTTTAGCTTCCAAGACCGGACAGGATTTGATGCCTTAAGGAAATCTAGGCCCTACTTTTGCTAAAATCCTACATCCACTTACAAGAATAAACCTCATTGAACTCAGTAGTCATTTGTTCTCAGTAGACAGCCCTAAGACTCCACTGTAAGTCTTCTGGATTTTTTTTCCTTTACAGACTTTTAAAAGGATATAGTGAGGCAGATATCATACAGCAGCTTGGCTTTAAACATCCGCCTCTGTTTCTGTGGCTGTAAGCAAAACTGCTGCCTGTTAGTTGTGATCACCAGGAAATGGAAACTTGAGTGGTTTGAGAGACATAGCTATCATGATTTTTAGCTGGTACAAAGGTGTTTTCAAAGATCACAAATTTAAGTTAGTAATTGTATATCTTTCCAGTGCTTCTTTGTAGTTCTTGTGTTGTTTATTCAGAACCAGGTATATAAAAGAGGAAGGAGAGTTCTTTGTTAAAAAAACACCCCAATGTCTTGTAAAAATGTTTCAAATGTGTCATGTGTGCGATTTAAAGAATTTCTTTTGACATTTAGCATAACACTTACATACTAACCCAAGCATAACATACAAACTTGAG